CTGTTCTTTGAGTTCAGTAATTCACTTGACAAGGTAGAAGGAGGAGAGGTGGCCCCTGCCCTCCCGAGCCTGGAGGGTTTGACCTTGGTGTACATCTCTTTCAGGGGGTCTTCATTAGGTGGGTTCTGCAGAAGGGAGACAGTGAGACAATGTCTCTTGGTTCCCCTGAGCTCTTGCCAGTCAGATTCTACAGGGTGTCCAGAGTACTGCTTTAGACATTTAAATCAGACTATAGCATACCTAATGTGTCTTCAGGGGCTTCCTGAGACCTGAGGTATCTGTCAGCTCCCTTTTTCAACTCTGATCTCCAGTAACACAACCCAACTCCTGAGAAAACCTGCTCCTGCCCCAGGACCTAATTGCCTGCAGTGTCTCCTTCCTATCTGGGAAGACACCTGTGAGAGCCCTGGTGATTCACACTGGCCCTGTCTGCTCTACTTCCCCTTTCTCCGCTCCATTTGCCTGAAGCACATGGCACTGCTCCCACTCTGCATTGTTAACTTGTTGTCCCCTCCCCCTTGCAGTTGTCCCCAGTGGATGGAGAGCTTGGCTCCCTGCAGCATCTGCAGCCCCTACAGGAAGCCTGGTCCAGAGGGAGCTCCAGGGTCTGGGCGATGGCTCAGCCAATAATATGGTTGCTGACAAGAATGAGGACTGGAGTTCGATCCCCAGCACCCTGCCATGTAATGTCTAGGCAAGTCTGTGAACCTAGCACTGGAGAGGGAGAGACAGGGGACGCCTGGGGCTTGCTGACCAGGTGCTCTAGGCAAATCAACAAGCTCTAGGTTCAGTGGGAAATCTGTCTCAAAAATAAGGTAGAGAGGATTGAGAAAGTCACCCAATGCCAATCTTGGCCCTCCACACGTGTGCACACACACACAAATACATAAGTAAAGAAAAGCACAGAAAAAGAGGGAGTCCCTGTGTGTGGCTGGGGCAGGTTCACAGGGTCTAATTTATTAATTTTTCCTACTGGTTCTGTTCTCAGTGCAGGATATCAAACCCAGAGCCTTGTACATGGAAGATAATCCCTCTACCACTAAGCATAGCTGCAGCCTCTCAGGTGTCCTTCCGAGACACTGGGAACATGGTAACAGCTAGAGAGATGCTGAGGAGCTAAAGAGATAGAGAAGGGCCACCTGGTTCCAGGAAAACCAAGATGGAATGAGGTTCTCATAGAAAGAGACAGGTGCTTCTGAAAGGAAGGAATCAGCGGTGGATGTGACTGAGGGCTGAGAGAGGGGAGGACAGAGAAGGACCCTGGACCAAATTGGGCTGGAAGGGTTACAGCACTGTCAACTGGGACAGGGTCTCACCAGACTGTACAGCTCCATGCTGGACTTTGGCTGTGGGAACTTCAGAGAAGCATCTGATGTGGAAAGAACAAGAGACTTATCTCCTAGCCAAAGTCCTGGGATTGTTCAGGTCCTTAGATCCCTCTGATGCCCCATGTGGGGACAGAGGCAGGAAGCACTGTGGTGCCCCCAGTCTATAGAGAGAGTTCATTCCCACCGAGCCCTGACTACAGCCTCTCCCCTCCACCCCTGTGTTGCCAAGACCTCGGGTGTCCCCATCCCCAGGGCCCTCTTTTCTCACACTTGATTTCTTTCTTGATGGCAGTAGCTGGGCAGGATCTGAGGGCACAAAGGGGCATGAGCTGGTGGTGAGGAGTGGCAGACAAGTGGGAATCTGGGTGACTGGGCTTGAATTACCTCTTCTGAGGACCTCTCTCCCTGGGCACTGGCTCCTCAGAGTCTTCAGGAAGTTGTATGTCAGTGATTTCACTCTGAACTGAAAGAGAGAGGAGTCTCAGCCAGGGGTGGGAAAGCCTTCTCCTGGAACCTTCAGGGAAGAAAAGGAACTTATGCCACATGGGGTTAAATGTGCAAATGTTCCAGATGAACAGCTAGCTGAACACCAGGCTCTTGCACATGTACTGAGATCATGTGTTTCTGATCTGACATTCTGGGGAAGTATTTCTGAGCTTTCTTGCCCCAGTCTGGATGGTGCCCTGAGCCCCTGCTTGGATGGTCCATAGGGGAGCCCTCCACCTCCTTGGAACCTGGACACCCACATCCTACTCACCCTCTTTCCTACATTTGTGCTGACACCTCCATCGGAGAAGAAGGAAGATGAGAAGGAAGAGCAGGAAGAAGACCACTGAGACCCCGATCAGAATCATCTGGTAACCTCCCAGTCCTGTGGCACAAGTGACTTCATGTGTCAGGAGCAGTGTTAGCTGACTTGACCACCTAATGTGTACCAAGTCCATGCTAGGATTTTTTATTCAGCACCTCCTATCCTCAGGATCATACAACATAGCATCAGCTCAGCCCCCAAACTGTTCACCTGCCCTGGGTCACACAGGTGAAAGACACAGAGTTGGATTTCTCTAGGCAGACTGACTTCCAGCCTTGTTCTCCACCAGATCTGAGACCCTGGAGGGAAGGAGCCTGAATGTCCTGTGGTGGCCCTATAGTGGATCCTCACACAATGTCAGCATCACTATGGTAAATGTTAGAAGCCCACCACAGAATCAGTTTGTAAAGGATTCCTCTGCTAGGAGAGTTCACAGCCAGGGTGAGGCCTAAAAGGAACTCTAAGCTCAGAGAGAAAGCCTCTGTTAACAGAGAAACTGAGACGCACTCAGGGGAGGTTGTTGTCATATTCAGCATTCCCTGCAGAGCCCACACCAACCCCATGACTACATCTGGTCCCCTGAACCTGCCTTCCTAATATTCTCTTTTACCATTCTAGGGAACAGACTCCATAGGTGTGAGCAGCTGTTTCTCAAGTCCTCATGGTGGGATGGGAAAGGTGACGGTCTGGGCTCCCCAATCTCCCCCTCAGCCCAACTGCTGCTCTCCCAGCCTGGGACTAAACATCTTTGCATGCTTGTATGAGCCCTCCTGCAGCCCGGCCTCAAAGACTGGAATTCTGGGGTCTGTGTTGGCATCTCTGTCTGATCTTGGGGCTTCTGGACACAAGCTTAGCTGACACAAGAACAAGCACTTTGATGGGCTGATTCTTCAGGCAGCTCAGGGATGGAGCAAAGACCCTGAACAGAGGCCACAGGGCTGGGCAGGGCTGACAGCTGAGGTTTACTGTGGACTGTTAGGTTGGAAGGAGGCTGCATGTTAAATGAACTCCCACATTGTCTCCCAGGGTTGGGCTGTGAAAGACACCCTTAAGATGAGAACACTTTTCCTGTTGGCAGAGAAGGGGGATGGGGAGCCTGAGTTCCCTCACCTGTCATCACCAGCTCCAGGGCGTCACTGCACTGAGTCCAGCCAGCAGGACTGTAATAGTAACAACAATATCGCCCTGCATATTGCTCTGTCATGGATGAGATGGAGAACTTGGCCTTGTCCCCGGGCTCCATTGGGATCTGTGTGTCCCAGGGTGCTGAGCTTCCCTCTTTCTGCAGAATATATTCTTGGGCATTGAGAATCCCCTGACACCAGATGGTCACGTGACTGCCTGAGGCGATCACAGAGCTTGGCTCAGCCCTGATGGTGGGTTTGTGGTGAGTCTCTGCAAGGAAGGAGGGGCCATGTCAATGGGTCTCTTTGAGCAGTGGCACAGTGATCTCTACACTCAGAGATGACTCTCAGGCTGACCCTGGGTAGCAGAAGGACCCTGGAGCCCTTTGGAAGATCCATCTCCGTCCTGGAAGTCCCAGCCTTCACTCTCTCTGTCTCCCCTTGGCTTATGTATCTTAGGTTTCACAGTTCCCACACTCTGTTGAAGGTCTCAGAAGCCATAAGTTCCAGTGTCATTCTAGGGCGAGGCTGGGGCTTCCTCACCTGAGACCTGGAGCTCCAGGGGGTCACTGGGTTCTGACCACAGCTGTGGGCTCCACAGGTCATAGCCATAGCATCTGAGCCTCCACTTTTGACTGGGGATCACGGGGCCCACAGAAAACAGGGCCTGGTACTGCCCTGTGGAATATGTATACTGTGGGGTCAGGGTCCAGGAGAGCTCCTGTGGTTCTTCCTTCTTCAGCACGAATCTGTCATATTGGTGTCCTGAGACACACTGGAGGACGATGTTCCCCCCTGAGGCTACTGCAGGGCTATACTGAGCTGAGAGGCTGGGTTTGCTGTAGTGGTATCCTAGGAGAAGAGGCAGTGTGTTAAGTGAACTCTCACCGCCCCCACTGTCCTCCAAGGCTGGGCTGTGAGAGGCGGGAGACATCTGAGAGCAGGACCCCTTTCCTCAGAGCAAAGACTGGGGCTGAGACCCTTGAGTGACCTCACCTGTGACCACCAGTTCCAGGGGATCACTGAACTCTGACCAGCCAGCAGGAGTTTGATAGTTACAACGATATCGCCCTGCATGACTCCAGTCAAGGAATGGGATGGAGGACTTAGCCTTGTTCCCAGGCTCCAGCAGGGTCTGCATGTGCCCAGGATATGGGTCTCCCTCTTTATGGAGACGGTACTCCAGGGCCCCTGAAGTCCCCTGACATGAGAAGGTCACCTGTAACCCTCTCTTGACCACAGAACCTGGCTCAGCCCTGAGCGAGGGCTTGGAAAGGGTCCCTGCAAGGAAATCAGACTTTAGGTAACAGGACACACTCCCTTTGATTCCTCTTGAGTTTCCCCAGCATCAGCCACACCTGCTGCTCTCTGTCTCTAATGCCCACAGCTGACCCCTTGTCCTCAGTGAGGAGGACTTACCTGTGACATCTGGGGACACACTCACCTGCCAGCACTGGGGTCCTGAGGCTGAGACTCAGTCCTGGAAGAGAGTTCTGTGTGAGAGATCTGCCCTGAAGCCTGAGCAGGTTCTCCCCTCCTCCTCCCCTCTGAGTCCCTGAGATGACTTGATCATGTAAAAGTTTCAGCTGTTATGCAGGTCACTCCCAGCCTAGGGTGGTTCCTTCACCCTCTTCATGTCTCACCAAGGCAGAGCAGGGCTGTGAAGGTGGGGGTCATAGCCTTTACTCATTGTGGCTGCAGCCTGGCAGCATTTTGGAGACCGTGCCCTGTTGGACGGGCAGGCGTCCTCCCCTCTGAGTCCCTGAGATGACTTGATCATGTAAAAGTTTCAGCTGTTATGCAGGTCACTCCCAGCCTAGGGTGGTTCCTTCACCCTCTTCATGTCTCACCAAGGCAGAGCAGGGCTGTGAAGGTGGGGGTCATAGCCTTTACTCCTTGTGGCTGCAGCCTGGCAGAATTTTGGCGACAGTGCCCTGTCGGATGGTCAGGCTCACAGGTTACGGCCTTTAGAGGCTTGGTCCCCCATCCTCTGACGAGAGCTTTATTTCCGCAAAAACACAGGAAATGGAACTGTCCTTCAGAGGAGACTGGCTCTTCTTTCCTGGGTGCATTCATGTCTGGATTCTAGACTCTGCAGCATCCGTCTTTCAATTTTTTTGTTTGATTGTTGTTTGATTTTGAGACAGAGTCTCATTGTAAAGCCTTTGTTGGCCTGGAACTCACTGTGTGGATGAGGCTGGGCTGTAATTCACAGTAGTCTGCCTGCTTGTATCTTCCCTCTGGAGGATCAGAGGACCTGCAACAGGAATGGAGACACAGAAATGAATTAGGTGGTTGAGCCCTGGCCAATACAGCACTTGTGTCGATTTAGAGAGAAGCCAGTGGAGGTGAATTAATAATACATTAATTACATTTAGTGGATGATTGCTTTGTTCTTTTTCTAAACTTTAGCATTTGCAATAATGTTGTGTCACGTTTAACAACCTTTGTCTTTTTCTGCTTTTGAGAACTGGTTGTAACCTGTAGCCCACTCTGCTCTCAAACTCATAAACCTCACACCTCAGACTTCCACGTCTGGAATGCAGATGCCCACACACTGCTCAGCTCTTTGTTTCTTTGTTAAATGTGCTCACTTATCACTATAGACTTTCTTCATGATTTCCTTTGTTTAGTCAAAGAGGTGATGGTGTATTTGTTACTGGAGGTTGAGCACAGGGCCTCTAAGCAATAAACAGGAATTTACCACTGGGTCATATCACCAGCTTCATTCCATAAGATTTAATATGTTATGTTTTCTGTATGTTAATGAAAGGCAAACTGTCATTCCTGTCTTCCTTTGTATATGATGTGAGTGCACAGTCACAGGGACCAGGGGTCATAACTTGAACACACTTGGATTGAGGGTGAAGAGCTCAGCTCACACACCCTTTCACTGATGTCTCTTCTTTT